ATAGAACTGCCCGGTAAACCGTAGGCAGAGAGAGAGAAGAGGACAACAAACGAGGGGCTGTGACAAACTGTTTCGTCGGAGTTTCACCGACTCATCAGGAGGCTGAACCATATATATATATATATTATATATATATATATAAAGTTATAAACATACACTGTGGTACACCAGCTTTGGGCCTAACCAATTCCCTGTGTCTCTGTCCCGTTGCCTATGTAGGAGATATTTGATATTGCACATTACTATAGGCTGAACAGAGCATTCCCAAAGACGCACACACATATGTAGATACAAGAAGTAGAAACAGATAAAACATAAACATGCAGCACTGAAGAAACACAAGGCTAGTGTGCTTCGGGACATCCCTGTTAACATTGGAATGACACAGAGACTGAAGATTAGCATGGCCCCTGCACAAGGATGACATACATAAACCAGCAAATGGTCCAAATTTTCATTAAAAAAAAAAATCACAAGGGAAAAAAAAGAAAATACGCTTAGCACCATGCCAGACTGTTTTGACGGGTTCTGCCAACCGATCACGAGGAGGCTGAACCCCTGGCTGTCTGCTGGATCCCCTCTGAGTGCTTTGAGTCATAGCCGGCTTACAACCCTGTTGCAGTCTGCTGGATCCCCTCAGACTGAGCAGTACGAGGAGAAGGTCTGTGTGCGGGTTATGACTGTGCTTGATACAGTGTGGTTGTACTGTGAGAGTAAACCTTTTTTTTTTTTTTTTTTTTTCCATTTCTCGATTTATGCGTGTCATCCTTGCGCAGGGGCCATGCTAATCTTCTCTGTATCGTTCCAATTTTAACAGATGTCCCGAAGGACACTGTGAGAGTAAACCTCAAGCTATATTGTTTTTTCAAAGCCCATTGCAAATGGGCAAACACAGCAAAGCATGCAAAGCATGCAGCGCTGCAAGGCAAGCTGCAGGCCAGCACTATGCTTCATAGAGGCAAGGCAGGAGGGCAACTGAGCATTGAGGCAAGCAGCAGCGTAACACGACAGGCAGCAAGGGAGGAGAACACCAAGGCAGCAAGGTGGCAAGCAGCAGGGAAAGCAGGGGTGCAGCACAATGAGCGGCATGGCAGTAAGGCAGCAAGGCGGGAGGGGCAAGCATCAGGGGAGCATGACGGACAGCAAGGCAAGGCAAGCCGTAGGTCAAGCTGTCGCCGGCGAGATGAGGTGTTGTTTGCTGTGATAATTAACGCCCGTGAGCACCTTATGGTTGTTTATTTGAATTTTTGAAAGCAGCAGGGCAACATGAGAAACAGCAAGGCAACAAGGCAGTGAGGGAGTAACGAAGCGAAAGCGCAGCACTATGAGCAGCACAGCAGCGAGGCAGGGGCAGAAAGGCAGCACTATGAGCAGTACAACAGCAAGGCAGGAGGGCAAGGCAGGAGGGCAAGGCAGCAAGGCAAACAGCAGGGCAGCTATCGAGCAGGAAAGCAACAAGGGAGCCAGGGAAGGCAAGTGGGTTGGAGGGCGGGCAGAAAACGACACGTCAAGGCACTTCAATATACTGACACAGCAAGGAAGTTAAGTTAGTCAACAAATTAGCACCACCGTCTTCAGACTCTTCACCCGAATAGAACGCCGGGTCATTATAGCGGTATTTGAGTCAACTTCCAGTCCAGATACAGCGATAATTACCGGGCATTTTACTCGGGTGAAGACGGTATGCAGCACATAGCCGGGCAGGCAGGTGGGCGCGTGGGACACCAGCACAACAAAGCATCCCAGTGCAGCAACACAGGAAGCCATGAACTCAGCAAGGAACAAAACAGATTATCAGCTACTCACATCATATGGGAAACTCAGCAGACCGTAGGTTTCACGCCACGATCAGGAGCCAGGAAGCCACCAAACTAATGCGCCCATCATAACCGGCAAACACAGAGATACGGGCATCCCAAACACCGCAGCCCCCCTCATAGTGTTTTAGGGACTCCATACAAACAGGCACCGACTATTTGGCACATCTTAAAGGTGCTACACTTAGGCATCTAGAACACACGGGACAAGGTCAAACCATGCAGCGAATGAACAGCAGCATAAGGAAAATACTGGAAGAAAGGGAAAATGCGAGGCTACGCCCGCTTAGCCCCTACGGGCCTTATTTGCAGCAAGGTCGGCCGCCCTAAGTGAAGGCAGGCACGACAGGCCCTCAGGGCCTCATTATCTGGGTACCCCGCAAATGGAGAAATTCAGGCAGTTGCACAGCATCAGTTGGTTGAAGGAACTCACGCCCTGGGCCGCCTGTGTGAATGAATGTAAAGCAGGCCCTGGGCTGGGTACRGGCACYGGGCCAAGCACAGGCCGAAAGTTGTTGGGCATATGCAACTACCTCAGGCTCCATGCCTGCATTCTTCGTGACTGGGCCTCAGGCTACCGGGGCCTACTGGAAGCTTCTTGGACTGGACGCAGGCAGGCCACGGGGATATAGGCAAGGGCCAGCCTCCTAATTTGGCATTCGGGTGCTGGCTGCATGCGGCGACAGCGCTGCTGCGCTATTTTGCTGGCTGACGCCCTCGCACTCACGGGCGAGTGTGGAAGAAGCAGGCAGCCATAGCCACGCTGCCTGCTGTAAGCTGGGTTGGGCGCAGGTTGGTCCTTGGGTGCTAGAGGCATCTGTGCGGTGAGGATCGGGGTTGAGAGCGAAGCGAGAGTCATACCTGGTRCTWGAGGCGAGCGACATTGGCCGCATATGCTCGTACTTCGGTGAAGCTGTTGACGTCAACTTCGGCATTGTAGTAGTAGACTAGATAGGATCTGCCATCTTGTAGTCTGGGCGCCGAGCGCCAATAGGATACCAACTCTTGTTCTTTGTTGATGATGATGAGAGACAACTTCAGCATTGTCAATTATGAACTATTTCTGTGTTCTTATTTGGTATAACTCGTGATGCCATTCTGCTTATGGTTCGAGGTCATGGCTATTTGGTCACTCATGTATGATGCTGTTTGAGTTCTGGAATTCGCTATTGCTCATCTGCCTTGCAA